GAAAACTCAGTTCTTTGCTGGATTTGAGAAAAGTCATTGATTTTTCTGTTTGCGTAGCTATTTCTTATTGTCCAGACAGGAATGATGACTTCCAAACACATGGTGATTGAAACCGAAAGTTATTAATTTTATTTTTTTAATTCTGTACATGCATACATCCTTTTATTGCAGTTTACTTTATTGCGCTTCACAGATGTTGCATTTTTAAAAAATTAAATGCTAGACCCTCCACCAGCAAATGATACAACTTGCTTTATTGCAGTGGTCTAGAACTAAAGGTACAATATCTCGGAGGAATGCCTCCATTTCTCAATTCTCTGTCTGACCCTCTACTCCTAATATATAAAAGCATTTCCTTTGATTCTTACTGAATACACCAAAATGATGTCTAAAATTGCTTTTCCTTTTTCATAGATTATTTTCATAAGAGATGTTTCCTTTGAATCTTTAGAGTAAAAGCATTCCTTTTATTTTATGCTGTAGAATGTTTTCATCCCCTAGAGCTTGTGTTGTTTCATTCTGGATATTTATCCTAGAAAAAGAAATCTCTTTAAGTCAGGGGATTGTAAACAGATAACATTCTTGGAGTGTCTTTAGCTTTTTTGATCTTGACCTTGTGCATTCTCACCTTAACCCTCTCTGATCTAGATTTGTAATAGATACCAGTGAGCAAAAGCACCAGCCCAACTTTCCCTAGCCTTCTGGCATTCATTCAGCATAATTCCAATAGACTCAAGTAAAGTGTGTTGTCCTTGTAGTCCTGAGTTCTCAGAAACCTGGAAAATCTATGCTAGTCTGTAGTTTGTATACATGTAGTATGTCAAAGACTAAATTCAAGATAACTGTGCAACTCAAAGTCTGGTCCCTGGACCTGTGCTTCTCTCTTTTTGCCATTTTACTTTTCTAGTGAGTCATGTTTATTACTTTTACAATAGCATTGATCAAGGATAGATTGGAAAATTTAAAATAGTAGTCCTTGCCAGAGATAGTTTGAGAAGTATTGCCCTACATTGCATAACTCCTGAGTGTTTCCTCAACTTTGGGAAATGCCAACCTATTTTCCCTTTAAACTGCAGGCCCTTTACTCTTAATGGATGTGGAAAGAGAACCATTTGAAAGGGTGGGAGAATGAGGAGGTATGGGAAAATTGTAGGGGCACAGGGAGGAAAGGACCTTGACTGACACTGTTGGGAAATCTCTCTGCTGTAGTAGGTAGGTGGCTACCAGTTTCTCCTTTAAAACCATCTTTGATTAGACAAGCTCGAAGAAGTAAGTGGGGGTGAATCCTAGAATCCTTTTTCTTTCTTTTCCATTGTGGTTCATTTTGCTCTGACTCAGGGAACAAGACTGGTGTTTACTCCAACCTTCTTCACACAGTACAGATTGGAAAGAAACCTCCACTGCCCCCGCTAGACTTTGATGTCTGTGTTCCTTTCTCCTTACTTCTGGCACTTTATGCATCACCCAGGAATGCCTCAGAGCACAGAACAGGCACTGTCTGCACAGCCCTGAAGTGCTCAGGAAATCTTCCTTAGCTTGTGGGCAACTAGGCTTCACTCTCACAGATACTGCTGTGAAGCCACCTATCCCCTACTCTGCATCTATGTGGTTGGCTTTCAAGATCTAATATAGGACATCATATGTACCCTCATTTACCATTCAGACTCAGTACAACATTTATGCCTATAGAGATGTTTGGAACCAAGTTCTTGCCTACCTATCTTTGTGCCTCATGCCAACAATGTCTTTTTTTCCATTTATTAATAGTTATGTAAAGCAGAACAGGAATGAGACCATATCTCTCTGGCACTCCCTAGGTGACTTCTCTTCCTGTTTCCATCAACTCATTACCCCATCTTCTTGGTTCAGTTGTTTGACAGATCATGAATCTACTTAACCATCTTATTGTCTGCAAAGATATTGTGGGATAAATTGATAACCTCTTCCCCTCACCTTCTCTATGCCCTCATCCTTTCTATCAGAGAGAGGCCTGAAATAATAATAATGAGTATCACTACTACACTAATAATAATATCTGATTGGCATTTGCTCTAAGATAGCAAAGAGAGCAACACTTAATAGCAAGAGTGGTGTTTCTTGTATTTTAGCCAGACTTGGGTGCTAGCAGAAAGCCAGGTGTTCCCTCTCAGTGTAGTCAGATTTTATGTTGGTTTCTGTAAGCAGAGCTTGAGTTAGAGGAGATATAGGAGAGAAAGGCCACTGGACAGACAACCTGGACCTGGAATTTGGGAAGCACATTAACTTTTGCTCATGGATCTAAAACAATGGTTTCAACTGGGGGCAAATTTTCCCTTAGGGGACATTTGACATTTTTTTAAATTGTCATAACATGGAAAATAAGGGGCTGCTATTGGCATTTGGTACATAAATGCCAGGGGTGCTGCTAACTATTCTTCAACACATAGGGCAGCCAACCTCCACAAAGAAGCAGTATTGAGCTCCAAATGTTAATAGTGCCTAGGCCGAGAAACCCTGGCCTAGGATTTATCCCATTCTAAAACCTGCACACGAGTGTGGGTGAACAAAATTATGGATCCGGTCAAACTCCAGGCCGCATCCCTAAAGATTCTAGTGTTGTTGGTCTGGATATTTTTATGAAGGCCCCCTACTCCCCTTGTGTGTAGACAAGATTGAAAACCACTCCCTGGAGTGTCTTGTCTAATGGAGGCCACAGATGAAGCTGACCTCCCTCATTTTTCTTGAGGATTATTGAAGGGTTCTTGACTCTTTTAGGAGGTAGCAGCAATGGAGAAACCCACAGGAGATGGAGAAAAAAAAAACACTGGAGAGGATAAGGTATGGAAGTTCAAGTTGGGAGTTTTTGTGAGAAGTGGAAAATGGGTACACCCTCTAGATAAAAGAATTTGAAAACTTTCTAATGGATGTTCCCAGGGCCCTAAGACTAGCTAATGGGCCAGACTGCTGTGGCAAGTAGAAAGGAGCACCTCCACAATGGATGTGGCTTCTGCCAAGGCACAGGGTTCCCTGAACCCAGAGGCAGCTGGATTTATGCTCACACTTGTCCCTTTTTCTAGGTACCTTTGCACAGTGCTCAAACTGCACAATCTGATGCAACAGCCATGGTCAGAATTTGCCTTAACTAAGATGATCTCCTTCATCAGGAAAGCGGTGAGGTTCTGCCTTATGGATTAAAAAAAAAAAAAAACATTGGAGAAAGCCTCAGAGAAACCAAATTGATCCTGCAGGCAGCCTAGAAACCATGCAGGGGTGTCCAACCTTTTAGTGTCTCTGGGCCACATGGGAAGAAGAATTGTCTTGGGCCACAGATTAAATACATTGCAAATGTAATCACACATAAAAAATCTCATAATGTTTTAAGTAAATTTACGATTTTGTGTTCGGCTGCATTCATAGCCATCCTGAGCTGCAGGTTGGACACCCCTGCATCCTTGATGCCAGATAACAGGGTGGAGGCTCCAGGCCTGTCATGGTGTTCTCAGGTTGAGAACAATACAGGAAATGGAGAAATCTGGTTGCAAGAAACTACAACAGCTGGATTCCCAAAGCTGTGATTGGGACAGGGAACTTTGCCTTATGCTCACCCTGGAAAGAGCCTGAAGCCCCATTCCAAACCTCAATTTAGCAAGCATGCATGGGGGCCAGCCTTTGATTCATTCCTTTACAAAAGAGAAACACAAACGCTGTAGTGTGGACTTTGGCATTGTCAGAACCACACACCTAAGTTAAAAACCCTGCTCTGCCCATAAAGTGAACCTGTGCAATTTCTAAGCATGGATTTCTTCCTGGATAAAATGGACATAATGATACAAGACTTCAGGTATGGTCATGAGGATTGTGGATGGAAAAGGGGACCACCTACTAAACCTGATAAGCTCATGGGTGGCCTGCATGGTGGGCCTTACAAGCAGAGAGACCTAAAGTAACCACAGAGGATGGTCTGAACATAAAAGTTCCTAACTAAAAGCGTGTCATGGCAGGTATTCATGCCCTAGGCCTGTAACTTCCTTGACAAAGGTCAATCTTTACCTTAAGTGAGCCCGTCTATTGTCTTTTTGCACCTAAGATAACATACCTTTTTTGTTATGATGTTAGACTGCTTTCCATTGCCATATTTTAGAAAACAACACCTTTGAAATGTCAGAGTAATTGTTTTCTAGACGCCTCAAGACAAAAACAAAGGACACCGGAGCAGGAGACCACAGAACCCCTCATGGTTGTCGTGTTCCCTGAATACCATCTCTATGTGTCAATGTTAATTATTAACTGTCCACCAATATGAAAGAAGCATGTATCTCTTTGTTTTACTTTTAATTCAATCCTACAGATTTCCCCACTTTGCTGTCTCCCACTCCCCATTAAATCTACCGCCAATGAAATTCATGTAACCCTCCTTATGCCTCTTCCTTTTATTCAAATGTATAAAATAAGCTGCAAAACTACCATTCTCAGGAGCATTTTCTCAATCCGTTGAAATTTTGCATCCCAGCAATTGTCATCAGTTTGGCTCAAACTCATAAAAATTCTCTACAGGTTTGGACATTTGTTTCACAGACAGGGTCAAACCAGCCAATGTGGCCATCATAACCTGCAGTAGTGGGCTACTCTGGATCTTTTTGATTGCCCCTTCTCTTTCTATGTGACTCATGCAGCTTCTTACACAAATGACATTGTCCTAGGGGCCCATGATCCTGGAGGTAGTTGGGCCACCAGTGTGTATATTCTGGTGAGAGGGCTTGCAGTTGGAGAACAAAAAGATACCCCTGGAGTGCTCTGGTGGTGGTGGCAGGGGCGGTCAGCTCTGCTTCCAGAAGAAGCACTGGCACAAAAGAAGAGGGTGGGTGGGAGCCCCAAACCGCGCCAGCATTCCCTGGAGGCGGAGGAAGGAGGGCAGGCCCCAACTGAAGGGAGGGAGAGAAGCGAGAGAGGAGGAGTTTTCCAGCTCAGCCGTCCGCTTGCCGCTCAGCCCCTCAGTCTGGTCTGTCTCTGCCTGCCCGGGAAGCGCGCTGCGCTGCAGGGCCAAACTGAGCGCCCACGCGCCATGGGGAGCCCGGCATTGCAGCTGCTGCTCCCATTGCTGCTGGTCCTGCTTCTGCTGGTCCCTCTGAGCCAGGGCTTCCCAGGTAGGGCCGGAGGCGGGGCATCCTCCCTAGCTGGGCACCGGGAACCCTCCGCTCTGGACAGAGGGAGGTGCGTGGGGGAGGGGGGTGCCCTTTGTTTGCCACGAACTCCTTTTTCCCTTCCTGGGGAGGGCGTGACACGGAGCAGGGCTCGAGTCTGGGCACCGGGAGGGGAGAGGCCACTGCCGGCCTCTCGCCAGGCGCCTAGCGCCTTCACGGTGCCTGGAGCCTGAGTACCCTCTGCGTCTGGGGTTCCAGGGGTCCAAGCAAACCCAAGTTGGCGCAGTAGGCTACTCAGAGGAAGTTTAACCTCGGGCTAGTTTCCTACCACCCAGACTTTTGCCTCTCACACAGTTGCTCAGGGCCGGGGCCCAAGGGACTGGCAGATTATCCTGAAAGGAGCTCCTACCCCCTCCCACACAAGGTCCCAGGACATCCCCTAGGGCTACAGGCACCTTCACGGTGAAGCGACTCTTTTGGACAGCACAAGCAGGGTCTCTCCTGCTCCCCGCTTCTGGGGGTTCCAAGAAAGTGTGCGCCTCTGGGAGAGAGGTGCCAACTGAGAGTGGTGACATGAGGCATGCGTTGGAATAGCCCTAGGGAAAAAGGGCTACACAGGCGTGGCTCTGCTAGAAGCTGTTCCAGGGCCCTAGAAGATGTGGCTTCTTGTTGCTGGAAGGCGTGGCCTCTAGCATCTAAAGGAACCCTAGTACTTATTAGGGATCTCCTGGTACTGGCAAAACCTTCTTTGGAGATGTCCTTTAAAAACCTCCAGCCTATTCCTTCATCAGGGAGTCTTACTTAGGTTAGCAGAGAGCTTGAGGGGAGCCGGGCAACGTGGATGCACCCATGACCTAGAATGGAGAAGAAATCCATGACCCCACTTTATTTTAGTGTTAATAGAAAGTGGTTGGTGTGGAGTATAGGGTGTGCAAATATTTGGCTTTGCATTCAGCATCGTGGGCAGTTTAAACTTGGGATCTGAGAAACAAACGTACTGATTTCTAGATGAAGGATGAAGGCAGGGAAGGGGTGGGGGCTTGGGAGATGTAGGGATGGCTGCTGGAAATTCTCTGCACATCCCTAAATGAATGAGTCAAACAAATGTGTGAAGTGATAAAGAGGAACATTTGTGTTTTGAGCTGACTCTTGTAAGTTTAAGCTGTTTGGTAGGAACTGATTCAGGGCAAAGTGGAAAGGAGACTTAATCCTCAGTGCCAGACAAGTGCCATTCCCATGGTGTGATAATGCCCCCCACCCCCCTTAGCAGGAGTCAGATTAAAATGAACCCAGAGGGGAAAGGGAAGTCAGTACTGGGCAAGAAGCAGCCTATGGGGAGCAGTGGGGAGTTGAGAAACTAGCTAGAAGCAATTGTACTCTGAATTAAGAGGCTTCTCTGAGCTACCCGCACATCTGCTGGAGCCTTTCTCAGCCAAGGGGCCTCTTCTCATTTTCCATCTGGTCACCATCCCTCCCTTACCATGCCCTCCGCTCTCTTTTCTCTCAGCTTCTACCCTTGTATAGTGTAGCTTGCTGCCAGAGCCCAGCCATCCACAGAATCATGGGTTTGCCAGGGTGGGTGCTCACCCCTCTCAGTCTTTAGGGACCTGTCCCTGGCTGGCCTGGTTCCTCGGATAGCCTGTGAGCTGCCCCCTACTGGAGGCCACCTCCCTCCTCCTTGCCACCCCCTACATTGATTCCTCACCAGCCCTCAGGCTCTCCTGAGACCCCAAATGAGCAGAAGCTGGTTGGGGAGGCTTTCAAAGCACCCCCCTTGAGCTCTCTCTTGGCTCATCCCCATGGGATCTCTAAGGAAATGTGATATGCTGGGGCTATTGAATTCAAGGGTGGGATTTCACTCCAAGCCAGAGGTTTTAGCAGGCTGGGGAGGGGAGATGCCCTAGGTCAGCAGGTCCTGAGGCAAGTCATGTCAGCTGAGTTCACTGTAAGTGCTGGCTGACAGACTTTGAAGATCATTTCAGACGCACCTTCTTAGCAAGTGGACAGCATGTCTCCAGTAAGAGAGAAGGTAAGAAGCCTATCTAGGGCCCCACTCAGCCTCCTGATGATATAACCAGTTGAGATTTAACAGCAAATCTTGTCAGAATGAGAGTAAATCCTTCCCATTTCCACCCTTAGAAAGTGTCTGGAGTTCTTCCATCTTTGAATTTGATGCAGCTTTTCTGACCCTCTGATTTATTCTTTGTAGCCTAGCAAAGACACAGCATCTAAAACAAACAAACAAACAAACAAACAAACCATGAAATGCATGGAAAGTCCATTGCCAAGTTATTTACATATGATTGTGTTTGCATGCCTATAAGGATAGGGGTTTTGATTCTCTTCTTAAATGAACTCTTGAAACCTTATTTACAGCTGAGATTTTGGACGATCACTTTACCTTCTTCTTTCTGTAAGCAGTGCTCACAGAAGGCAGGAATGAGTGCTGCAGCCACTAGGAAAGGCTGCGTGAATCTTACACCTGGAGAAAGGAGGTTAAAGTGGTGTGGTTTGGCCAGTCAGGAAAGCCAAACCAGACCATGGCAGCCAAAGCAGTCTTCTGAAATGCCACATTTGGAGATAGATATTAGGAACTAAACACCTGGCTCAGGATATACAATTAAAGTCTCAGGCTAGGCTAGAAATCGCTCTTTGTATTTAAAACATGTAATCAGATGACAAAATTACTCTGCATTAAAAAGGAGAATGCTGAGGAGAGCAGGACATTTTCATCTGGCATCTTCTTCACTGAGAATGCTTTCGGTATAGTGTACTGGTATTGCTTGTTCTTATTTCACAGACTTATGAACTCTAAGAGACACCAGAAACCATTTAAAGCACCATCTTCAAACTTCCAGCCTCGTCAGTCCTCACATCACAATTGAAATAAAGCCCCTTTCTTTTTTTTTTATCATTAATACAACATTCACACCTTTAGTTTCTGTTATTCTAACTCATTCTATTCATTTTGGCCAGATTCTGGACTTTTAAGTATACAGTTTTACTTTAGCACCATTTTTATCACTTTACTTTCCTATTCAAAGATGGCAAGCAACAGCTCTAGGTTCTATCCAAAGTTAAGTAGAACATTCTTAGCTGTTCTCATGGGACTATACAATTTGCTTCCATCCTAATTTTCTAGTCTTTCTCACCTGGTTCCCTATAAGTCTGACCGAAATAGTTTAACTGTTTTTATAGAACTGGAGTGACAGAAAAATGTCACTCAAGAAGTGGGAGAACACTTCCTGGTATTACTGCTTCCTGGACCTGGACTGCTTTCCCCCAACCACCAGTCTGTCCAAATTCAGCCCATCATCCAATGACCCCCATTTCGATGAAACTTTGTCTTGATCCCTTGAATGAGAAGCTTCTGATTTCCTTTAAGGACCCACAGTGCTTCATGTCTCTCTCATGGTACTTATCATGCATGCCATACTTTATAGTCATTTATCTGCTCTGCTATATAGGCAGACCTCAGAGATATTGCAGGTTTGGTTCCAGAGCACCGCAATAAACAAAGAATCACAATAAAGTGAGTCATAATCTTTTTGCTAGTGTGGGCATCTTGCCTTTAATTTGTAAAAAAAAAAAAAGCCACATCTATGAAGTGCAATAAAGTGAATCAAAATAAAACGAGATATATCTGTATTTCTACATTCTGAGCTCTTGAAGGCAGGGCAATGCTATGTCTTACCCTTCTTTATATTTCTCACATTGCCTAATTGAGCACCTTAAGCCAGGTGGATATTTGTGCATACTGATTTAATAGTTCCTTGTAATTTGGGTGTTAGCCATTGGAAAGAAAAGTTGCTGAGAGAAACACATGTGCAGGGAAACAGGGCTTTGTGCCACCATCTGCATACATAGAGACTATGGCTTACTGGCTGTAGAGCTTGCATTTAAATCCATGAACACCCTCTGTTGAAGCAATAACTTTCTCTGTTGGGGGCTGTAAGATGAGAGTTTGACTGCAGCCACAAGCTGGAGTTTGTATTTATTGTTTTTGTTGGCCACCTTGCTATGGCCCCTTCCAAAGAAGTTGAATGGTTTCCTTAGTAAACGCAAATGTGTGCTACATTAATTCCCCTTTCAGAGAACACAACTAAAATGGGTAATTGAAAGTGAAGATTGAGCTTAAGCAGAAGAAGGTTTACTTTTGACAAGCTATAGCATAGTATAAAATTGTAGCAGCCAAGTTCTGATTAATACCCAGATTAAAGATTCACTTCCCCAAAACCAGTGTGAATAATAACCTCTCCTGAGTTCCAGTTCATAGGCAGTTTCTTAGGCCGGCCCCTTGATTTTCAGTTGTATGATGTATTGACTGTCAGCTTTTATGGGCCACTGTTTTAGAGGTTTAAAGCCTAAACCTTTCTCTTGGATATTTGAATATAGTTCTGAAACAGAACCAGTTTTTGCCTTCTCCAAGGAAACATGGGCTCCATCCAGAGACTTACTTTTCAAAGTAGACACTAAATGATGGGGTGCTTGGGATACCAGGATGAGGAAGAAGAGGGAATTCCTTCCATCAGAAGCTTTCTGTCTTATGGAGAAATAGACACTGAATGTTAAGGTAGTAAATGTTATAACACAGGTGAGTTGACAGGCCTAGAAGTGCAGAGAGTAGCCATGCAGGGACATTGGGCCTAGTTATTGAAGAATGATGCTGATAGATGCTCATGCCAAAGATAGTGGCACTACAGGCCCATGAAAGGTTAAAATAGGAGACCTGTGGGATTCTCTAAGAACATTCTGAAATTGGAAACAAAAATCTGTGTGGGTGTCCTTTTTTCTGGGGAGAAGGCCCTAACCCAGTTCAAAACCACTGCTCACTAGATCATCTCTGTGAATTCTTTGAGAGAATGTGCACTTAGTAGGCACAAAAATAAACACACAACATAAGATGAAATTTCCAGAATAGGGAAACTTTGATTGAACCAATGATCAGGTAGCCTCAAGTTATAACCAGTGGTACAATTTCCTGTTCTCCTCATTTAAAAAGC